CTTACTGACTATAAGAAATGCTAATTAAGACAATGAAAGGTTCTTTACCCCAGTACAACAAATATTTTAATGTCTCTAATATGAAACATGGACAAAGTTTAAAAAGGTTTAACATTAGCCAGGTATGGTGGCTCACACCTGTAATCTCAGTACTTTGGGAGGCTGAGGGGGTCCAATCACTTCAGGTCAGGAGTTTGAGACCAGCCTTGCCAACATGGCGAAACCCCATCTCTACTAAAAATACAAAAATTAGCCAGGCATGGTGGTGGCGCCTGTAATCCCAGCTACTTGGGAAGCTGAGGCAGGAGAATCACTTGAACCTGGGAGGCAGAGGTTACAGTGAGCCGAGATCTCACCGCTGCACTCTAGCCTAGGTAACAGAGTGAGACACAGGTAGAACATCCGTATATTGCTAATAAGGTTGAAAACAGGTATATCTACTTTGAAAATCAACTTGGAATAATCTAATTAATGTGAAGATATGCAAATCCTAGAGAAAAGGTTTTACAACCTTAGCAACTTTAGACTTTGGTGTGGGGGCCTGTTCTGTGGACTACAGGATGTTTGGCATTATCCATGACCACCACCTACTAGATGCCAGTAGCACCCACTCACTCCCTCAGTTGTGACAACCCGTAACAAATATCTCCAATGTCAAATGACTCTATGGGGAAAAAAAAAATCACCCTCACTGAGAACATTACCCTAGATTCCATAGTTCCATCCTCAATGCTTAGACCTAAAACAGTCTTTTTCAAACATTTCTCTTTTTTTAAAAATAGAGATGAGGTCTCACTATGTTGCCCAGGCTGGTCTTGAACTCCTGAGCTCAAGCGATCCACCCACCTCCCCCTCCCAAAGTGTTGGGATTACAGGCGTGCACCACCGTGCCCAGCCACTTTTTCAAACATTTCTGCCTTAATCTGTAAGTAAGCCTTATGTATTTCACACACAAGTACATTTACAAAAAAATTTATAATTTAAACACATATTTTAAAATTTACTATGTGAAGCACTCTAGGTTTTTAAAAACCTTATCATGAGCCAATATACTGATTTCATAACCCACTCACAGACTATAGTCTGCAGTCTGAAAAAATTACCCTAGAGAGCCTCTTGTACTTGAGTGCTGGAAAACATGCATATTAAAATGTTCACGGTAGCACTTTAATATCAAAAAAACAAGAAACAATCCAAATACCCACCACCATTAGTACAGATTTTATCAAATAGTGAAACAGCCTTTCAGCAGGAAGAGAAAAGAAGACTTACAGTAATACAACCAACATGCATTAATCTAAAGAAAAGTAGGCTGGATTAAAAAAAAAAAAATTCTTGCCAAAGAATGTTGATAAAGTCACATTGCACGGCGATTTCAAAACATGCAAGAAACCAATGCACTTAAGCTCATTTTTCCTGAAACAATGGGATGAAATTGCAGAGTGCACAACGGGAAGTTTAAAAGTAATAGTAACATATATTTCTTAAACAGGGTGAGTTTCCACTGTTCATCATCATTACCATCCACATCATTATTATTATTGATTTTACAGATGGGGTCTCACTCTGTCACCCAGACTGCAGTGGCATGATCATAGCTCACTGCAGCCTCGAACTCTTGGGCTCTCAAGCAATCCTCCTTACCTCAGCCTACCAAGTAGCTGGGACTACAGGTGAGTGCCACCATAGTCAGCTCATTATATGGTTGTTCTGTATAACTTTATATCTATTTTCTTGTATATTCAATATTTTT